CAAGACCAGAGATGTACATCTTAAGACCTCTAATATATCACGGTTAAGGTATCATTTTAAGCTTTAGAGGTTGATTTTATTTCGAGCTATTATAGGCCAATTGTTTAAAAAAAGTTCAAGGTATAGGTTTTGTTAGCAAGGCTACATTTTGCACCAATTCTGCTAACTTGATGGCAGTAGCAAGTTGTCTCATTCAACAGCTTTATGTTCTGTCCTGATGCTGTTACTATGGAGATGTTCGGATGGGAAAATTTAGGATTTTATCCCAATTACAAAGAAGGGGCATCAATAATTTCCAATCAGAACTAGCTGAGGTCACAACTGGGTACTGTACTGCAGTAGTGCATTTCGGTGAATTGCTCAAGGGTATCATCGAGACAGCACATAGAATTAGGCCACGGTCAACATGCCAAGAGACTTTTGCAATGTTGTCCTAGGACTGAAGTGACTAGCTTTCAACAATTATAACGAGCTTCCTGCCAAGTATAACTCCAGACAATAAAAATATTCTCTCAATTTGGATTGATCATGGTTTTGCTAATGTTCCTGGTTGCTTTACTGAACTGATTGTTGCCTTGATGTCAAAGACGTGGACTCTCAGCTTTGCGGATTTAATAAATATATCATCCATATCCTTAATGAGAGTGGATGAGGTGAGAGCCTCATAGCAGGCAGGTAGGCACCACACTTACTGAAATTGGTTCTTGTTCTCTAGAGAAAGCAGCTAGCAGTTTGGTGACACACTACAAGCGCTTGGCCACTTAATCTTAAATTTTAACGTAGTAACTTTATCACCAATTTGTATACTAAAACAGATAAAAGGCAACATAACTAGGGGAACAAAATAATTAAAGGACGGCAGTTCAGGTGATGTGTCAAGATTGCAGCTTTCAAGAGCCCTTGGATGCCATTGTGATTAGGGCAAAAACATCTACACTAAATGCTTGAGATTCAAGCAACCTTGGTTCAGAGTTTGAGTTGCAGGCTGAACTACAGACATTGCAACACATTAGGGATGCGAAAGGTACCTGGATGCAGTTACACCACTTAGGACAGGATCTTCTGATTTGTTCCGTAAATCAGACAGGAGAGTATGGCCACGAGTGATGTAGGGAACGGGGCCCTGAGGGCAAGACTGGAGAAGTGGCAGTTTCTGCAACTGTTCAATAAGTTTGTCTCGGCCTGTTTGGATAAGATTAGGGCTATAGGGTGGATGTGCAAACTGACCATGACATGTGGTACAAGAAACCATTTCAAGTAGGAGGAATAAACAAGAAATATTATTTTACTTGTGATAGTTGTGGTTGGTGAGAGAGTATGGTGAGAGAGATTGATACCATTTTCTATACAATCAGCGAGAGTCACAGTTGTGTTGATCACTTGCTGCCACAATTCAGGTCATCAGCTCATGGCTGGAAAGGAGCTCAGAGTGGGAGGGGCTACATGGGTATATGTAGGAACCAACAACAGATGAAACTAGGAAAGAGGTTTTGTACTGAGAGCAATGAGGCACTAGACACTAAATTGAAGAGCAGAATCTCAAATTATAATCTCTGGATTATTATCCAAGCCATGTGCAAATTTGGCATAGGGCTTTTAAAATTAGAGAGATGAGTTTCTAGTTCATGGGTCATTTGCACCAATACTGGATAAAGCCGGGGCATCTTTAAAGAAAGCCAATTTTTCTAAATAATGCTGACTGACTTCTTTCAACAGATGTAACTTGAACAAAGATGCTAATTAAAAATGTTGTTTGGCCACTTGTTTGTGTACTATTTGAAAGAAAATGTTTCAAATATATGTTAACATCACCTGTAATCTGTTAGGATACAATAAATGTCAAATCATCTTTACAAAATGGCTAAACTAAGCATTGCCATTCAACTCACACATACAAGTAAATCAAGGTTGCATGAAGTACAGATGTGTGGTTCTGGCAGAAATGAAACAGAGGGCAGGTTAGCAGATTTACTGATTCTTTCATTCTCTTTGCTAATGATTAAAAGGCAGTTAATGGGGCAGGAATAAACTGACCAGACAAAATGGGTCCCTATTTATGTGCGCAAACCATTTTCTATACGGTCAGGTAACTTGCCACTTTCGTACTTTCACTGAAGCAGCTTTGGTAGCAGGACTGGCAGTTCTAGTACTCTGGTATTAAGAAGAGGCAGCTATAATCTACGATCTTTGCAGTGGCCAGTCCATTCAACTGTTTCCCAAGTCAACAGAGTAGTATACTTGGATACCAACAGCTGTAATTGTGGGACTACAAATTGCAGGTATATAATTCTGCTGTTCATAGCTCACAGCACTTAATGGACTACACAGATATCCCACTTAAACAAGCTATACTAAACTACAGAATTGAGGGTACATTGTAAAAGTGAAATTTGCTTTCAAGATGACTGTGTAGTGGTCATTCCCACAATATTATGACAGGTTGATAACTATTAAGCCTTGTGGGAATTCTCTAACTGAGCACATGCCAACTATAACAGCTATCTTCCTCAGGACCCAAACAGCTTGACCAAATTGTTCCAAGGCGTTGCTTCTCAGGGCTCAGTCCAAATGGCGACCTACATGGTGGAATTTCAACTCCTAAGTTGTTCTGGGGAGATGGTAGTCTAGTACACACTAATTAGTAGGTTTCTTCCCTGTTTGATCCATAGACTTAAAGAAATGAAGAGATATAATCCTATTTAGTTTAGCACTGAGTTGCCAAATAAATCCCTATAAAAAAATTAAGAACAAAATTACGTTGAAGCACAACACCTGCAGATGAAGGCACATTAGTCAACTTGATTCAACTGATAGCCTACAGACCCATTGGCAGACTGCTATGTTTAAAATTTCAAACATAGCACTCAAGCCAACAGTTTGTTTTTGAATTGTCTTAGGTATTGCTCTTCATATATAAGGCATCGTGAGATCCTTTCTTCTTACTTGCAGTGGCTCTACAGGAATATTAAAATGTCAAAGGAAAGCAGAGTTAAGTCTGTATCACAGCTTCTAAAAACATCGCCAAGAATATTCATATTAGCACTTTTATGAGGCTCTCAGTGCAGACTGGCTGCGTAACAGCAACATTTCAAAAGCAACTCCTTATGTGGTATACTCAGACTTGATGAGGAGAGATGCAAGTGGAAATTTATTAATACCACAAAAGAAAGTATTATCGCACCAATACCCTGGATTTCCCATTAGAAGATCAAATTCCAATTTGGACATCACTAACATTTTGTTTCAACTTCCAAACTGCAGATTATTCTAAACATTTAGCCTTTATTCCAATACTTTTAAAAAGTTTAGGTCCATTGGTGTTCCTTTGAAGTTTTCTTTCATTTTTATGTTATTTAGCTACATGTAATAAGTGTTTTCAGAGTTTTGTTTCCAGGGTCAAGTGGACACAATGAAAGTGAAGAACCACATTCAAAGTTTAACTAATTTTCTTAAGCTACAGATGCCAACAGATTTAGAATTCAAACACCAAAGCAGATTTACACTCAGAATAACTGTCCAAACCGCCAGAAAAAGTGATATTAGTTTATTTTGAGAAAAGAAACATTAGCAGAGATAGAACAGTTTTAGGAAGGCAATTGCAAAAAATTATAACGCTCAAACTCAGGTCGAAAAGAACACCAGAGAAGGATAAAGTCAAGACCAATATCAAGAGCCAGAGGTTATAACCATGGAACAGCTGAAGTTAAGGGCGAACCCAAGAAACATTTCTAAATTATGTGACAGTTAAAAGGATAATTATTGAAACAAAGTTTCAAAATTAATTAGTGCACACAATACAGCATTCATCAACAAAAGAATGTTTTTAAAACAGCTATAAAGGGATACGGGGAAAGACAGATTTAAAATTCTAGTTGATAATAAGTACATTTTGTGATTCAAGATGACTTATTTCAGTAAATATTTCTGCACCATACAAAATCTTTAGCTTACAATAGCTCTAAGACATCATTAATGTAAAGTGTCACTCAAGAACACAGAGTCTACTTTGGCAGATACATACTTCAGTTACTTTAGATGTGACTACAGTTCAATATTTTCATATTTAGATTTCATAAAGATTTCTGAGAAATAAAAAAGTCTTCAAAAATAATTTCAGGAAACCTTGCTTAATTTAATTTAACAAAAATGTATTTCCATTTAAAATCACAATAGTACCATATAGGAGGAACTCATTTGGTGAAATGCACCAATACTAGCTCTTTAACAGGCATGCAAGTCGACTCTCCACTTTCTCCATAGCCAGGGCATTCCTTTTCAATTCCCTTTTATATCTATTACCAAACCTTCTTCAAACATCCTATAAGACAGTGCAATCCAGGTATCACCCTATGTAATTTTTTTCATGTCTTCTATTTTCCCCCCGCCACCAATCCAGTCATCAGGTTACTGAAGAAGGGTCCAGACCCGAATCATCAGCTTTCCTGCTCCTCTGATGCTGCCTGGCCTGCTGTGTTCATCCAGCTCCACACCTTGCTATCTCAGACTCCAGCATCGGCAGTTCCTACGATCTCTCATTAGGTTACTGACCTACCTGCTGCTGGAAATAGTTTATCCTTACTTAGTCTATCAAAATCCTTCAATATTTTGAACACTTCTATCAAATGGACAGCCTTCAACGCTTTACAAAGAACCCCAGTTCCTCTAACCTTCACAAAACTGGTAACATAGTGATAAATCTCCTCTACAGCCTCCTGAAGTCCTCAAATCCTTCCTAAAGTCTACTTCTAAAATTGGCCATAAGACTTCAGCCGGGGCTCAAGCACTGTTTCATAAAGGTCCAGAATACAAGAAAAAGCTACTCTGTCTGTAGTTATGAAAGCAAGGATCCCATGAAACCCTTCAAGATGAATAAATAGGGGCTCTGATCACAGTTTCTAAGTCAAGCACCATTCTCAAAAGATTATAATAGTGCTGTGCATTAAATCACGTGACAACAGAGAACTGGTATATTTTAGTAACAAAGTCTTTATCCAACTTACCAGACCCTGGTATCTGAAGGAATCATAAACACTTCTGATGAACAGCCAGAAAGGCCAAAGATATTCAAAGCGGAATTCAAGGACAAAATCTGCCAGCAATACCAGTGCCCACACAACAAGGAATTTAAGGTACAAGAAAGTGCTGCAATTGAAAAAAAAAGTTACTTCAGACAATGAATTATATTTTTCAATGAATTGATTTTGTCATCAAGCGAACAGAGTTTAGAAAGTTATCCATTTATGAGACTACTTTATCAAATTGCACGGAAACAATCAAGTCCAAATAGTCCATCCAAGCAGTGGTTCTAATCCCAGCTGCCTGTTTGTTTCCTAACCCCTTTCCCTTCAAACATCCATTTATCCCAAAATTAAATGTTTGCAAGGCTGTATGTTTCAACAATCTACAATCAATTCAACAATCTGGAAGTGCATATGTGATATAAAACACTGTCCTAAATTTATTCAACCTTGAGTCCATGTCCCTTTGTTCTAGACTGCTCAATTATTAGAAATAGTCTATTTCTCCACACCTTCTCCTAGCTCTTCATAACTCCGAACAACTCCATCAAATCATCCCAAAATCTCAGGAATCCAAAGAACCCTTTGTATTTGCTTTTAATACAGCAGGTAGCATCCAGTGAAGTTTCACTGGGGGATTGAAAATGATGCAATCTGTTCTCTCAAGATGTAGAACTCAAAATTGTAAAGGGTTTAGATTTTCCAGTGGCTATCTTTTAATTGGTTTCAGGCTTTCAGTTCCTCACCTTAACAGGTATATTCATTTAACTAACCTACATTTCAGATCAACTGCAGCATGCATCAAAAGTGAACTCAATTTGGTCTTTACATTTCCATATGCTCATCCTTCAAGAAGGAATCCAGAAGAAAAACAACTTGCAATTATAAAAGTAATCAGGCATCCAAGAATACTGCGCAAATTTCCATTCTTTAGTCTTAGAGCCCCATAAACAGTCAACATCCTGATGGATTAATTGCTTTTCTTGCTGAAAAGAAACTGACCAAAATGCGAAACTGTCAGAAACAAATGTAGAATCTTCTGACTTTGTAGAATCCATTTATTTTCTACTTAATTAAAAAGGTACTGGGGATTCACGTGTTTCTTTTGTTAACCCAATGAATCTTGATAACACGAAACAAAGAAACTGGCTGACAGCAGTTAGCAACCCTGAGGACACAATGAACATGAAGTAACATGCATTAGAAATGGCAATGTTAAATCTTGGGGTATCAGTGCAGCTATAAACACCTCTCTCACATTGTCAGATTGTTAATCGTTAAATCAGATGATTTAAAATTAAAATTCATATTCAAGAAACACAAAGTAATCTTGACCTTAGTTGCTTCTGAAAGTTTACAGACTTAAACCTGATGTCCAAAATTATCATTTACAGCAAATGTTTGGTTTTGGCTTTCTCGCGTTTTACACCTAAATTCCTATTTTAATTGCTGCAATTGGAGAAGAAACCATTTGAACCATGCAGTGTCGAACAGTTGTCAAGACTTTGGACTAATCAGCAGAGGTAACCAATTTTCAGGTATCTGGTCCAAAATGGCCTGCTCTCCAGGGTATCTGTGCTGTAGGAGCAGGGAGATTTGTCAAACTAACTGAATTTAAGAATCTCACTCAAATGCACACATTGTAATGCAGGAAAAAAAGTAACAAAATACATTTAAAAACAATGGACAAGAAGCAAAATGAAAATTGCAATGTGTATCTAGAGTTAAAGGACAGAAACAAGATAAAAACAATATTTTTATAATCTACAACTACTTTTCTTCTCGGGAATGTGACTCCACGCTTATAAAATTACATTTTCAGGGCCAGGAACATGGCTCAGATGTAAATGTCACCTTTCATGCGACTAAATTCTGCTGTGCTTAATTACTTTTGAAGTCTTTAGCGTGGTAATAACAGGTAGTTAGTCTCAATTCATGCCATCACCTTAATCTTTGCACAGATTCCATTGAGGAGTGCAACCAGTAGACAAGTTGAGAATTACTGACACCTAGTTCTGGATTTCCACATTTACCTGCACATGTGCAGATGCCAAAAGTTGCTGTTAATTTTTGTCCTGTAGATAACCAGTCTTAAAGTTGCTGACACATCAAAACCAAGGCCAAAAAAGGTCAGAAGGTATGTTCATGTCTATTTAAGGATAAGCATCAAGTCAACTAGCACTAGCATGAATGCAACTGGAAAATAACTTCATTTTGTCAAAACCAGTTGTGTAGTATAGGAAGAACTGATTTGAGTTTGAATATAAATCAAGACTAGATGGTGTTACTTTTGTACAAAATAAAACTGTAATGTTATTTTGATAGTACTTTGTTAAACTAAATATTAAACCAGTCATCTCATACTTTTGTGTATAGTTACTGTACAAAAAGAACTAGCCTATGGCAAAACGTTTTCCTAAACCAAACCGTGGCTACAATACTCCACTCCGACAATGTATAGTTTTCACTTAGCAATGAAAATAATTTGATGACTTAGGATCATTAAGGAAGGAAATAAAAACAAACAACGCTGGAATAATAATAAGAATACAATAATGGTTCCTTGATGCCAACATTTGCAGCTCACATTTGCTAAGAGGAAGACAGGAAGATAAGTACACTCTGTTACAGCAAGGTGTTACATGTTCCTGCGACAGGAGTACCAACTGTCTTCATCCAACTCAAAACCAGTTTTAGAATTAGATGTATATTGCAGCATGCCAAAAGATGATTCTCAAAAAGAATTCAAAGTTGTTTAACTAATTGCTTTCCAGTAATGTAGGATGAATGATAAAATAACTGACAGAGGATAATTTCAAAAAAGTGAAAATCCAGTTATACTTTATGACACAAAATGATTAAGGTTTTGTTGGGACAAACAAAAGAATAGCTGTACTCAAAATTGGTGTATTGGTCATGTTAGTTTAATATTCTGGATTTTGATTTCATTCAGGAATCAGGTTTAAATCAGCTAAACTGACTTGTGCTCTACCTTTGAAAATGTATGTAAGGAACTGAAAGCCTATGATTTAAGAATTGAGGTAAATGACCTGAAGTACAAAAAGCAGCACCTGGAGAATTCTTGCAATTGTGAATGATTTACCACAAAATATACATTTGTTAGGAAAGCCTGTAGATTTATTCAGAGAAATGAGCCTCAACAGGTCAGGCTGTGTTTACGCTCTACACCAGCCTGCTACCAGCGGTCTTCATTACCTCCTATCAATGGATCGGGGACTCTTGCGCACACTATCAGCAGACAATTAACCTTTTTTTATATCAGATTAGTTCTATAAATCTTGACAATATGGTTTCTAGTCAATATTTCAATACTGCCAAAGTTATTGGTTTCAAGACCACAAAAATTAAATTCCAACAAAAACTAATGCAAACTGCTTACACATTTTGTGTTATTTGGTGGAATTGAAATGTTATGATTGATTGATTGATTTTTATTGTCACCTGCACCAAAGTACAGTGAAAAGTTTTGTTTACAAGAAGTACAGGCAGATCATAGTAAGCAAGGAATTACAGATCAAAAAGACTTAGAGGCATACAGGTTACATTGCACAGGGCTTGCGGTAGACGAGATCAACATTAGCAAGATCAGCATTATTTGACACTAGAGAGAGTCCATTCAGTCTAATAACCGCTGGGATGGAGCTGTTCCTGAACCTGCTGATGCACGTGTTCAGGCTTCTGTATTTTCTGCCTGATGGAAGAGATTGGAGGAGATCACCATCAGGGCACGATGGATCTTGGATTGCCTTTCTGGGGCAGCGAGCCATGTAAATGGAGTCCATGGATGGAAGGTAAGCTTCTGTGATGGTTTGCACTGTGCAGACCACCTTCTGCAGTTTCTTACTGTCCTGGGCAGAGCAATTGCCATACAAGGTCGTTATGCAGCCAGACAGTATGCTTTCAATGATGCATCTGTAGTAGTTGGTGAGAGTCCTTATGGACATGCCAAATTTCCTGAGCCACCCGAGGAAGAGGAGGCATTGAAGTGCCTTATTGACCACGTGTCTTTGTGTGAAGTCCAGGACAGGTTGTTGGTTATCACTCCAAGGACGCTCTCCACCCTCTCAACCCCAGTGCTTTTGATGTAGATGGGGGCGTGTTCTCCTCCTTTCTTTCTGAAGTCAATGATCAGTTCTTTAGTTTTGCCAACATTGAGAGGTTGTTCTCATTGCGTGTCACCAAGTCCTCTATCTTCCTCCTGTATTTTGAAAAGATCAGGAGAGAACAAGGCCCCTTAAAGATAAAAGAGGTCGCTGATGTGTTGAACCTCAGGAGATGGGAGAGATACTAAATGAATATTGTGTGTCAGTTTTTACTGGGGATAAAGAAATGGAAGCTAGAGAACTTGAGGAAATAAATACAAATCAGTTCACACTAGGAAGTGCTGGGGGGTCTTAGAAAACATAAAGGTGGATAAATCTCCAGAACCTGATAAAGTGCATCCAGGACATTGTGGGAAGTTATCAAGGAAATTGTGGGATCCCTAGCAGAAATATTTGTATCATCTATAACCATGGGTGAGGTGCCACAGGAGCAAAGGGTGGCTAACGTTGTATCTTCATTTAAGAAAGGCTGTTAAGAAGTCTGGGAGCTACAGACCTGTGAGCCTGAATCAGTGGTGGCCAAGTTGTTGGAGGCGATTCTGAAACAGAAGATTTACATGCATTTGGAGAGGCAAGGACTGATAGGGATATGGTTTGTGCAAAGGGAAATTCTGCTTCAAACTTGATTGAGTTTTTTGAGGAAGTACCTAAAAAGACTAATGAGGGCAGAGGGTTAGGCATTGTTTATGTCAGCTTTGTGAAGACTTTGATGAGGTTCTACATAGGAAAGGTTTGGAGAGATATGGGCCAAACGCAGGCAAGCGGGACTAGTTTAATTTGGGAACATGGTCAGCATGGGCTGGTTGGACCAAATGGTCTATTTCCATGCTGTATAAGTACGACTCTTCTGTACTTAATGCAAATTCAAATAATTTTAATGCTCATTTTGAGGATATGAAACTCACCTACAATAAGTTCAGCTAACTAGCAATACCAAAGCTCAAGGGCTTGATGTTGCATTATTGGAATTTAAATGCAGATTACTAGACAACTACTGCAA